TTGGCGGCGGGCGGCGGGCGGGCGGCCACGGGTGCCCTCGGCGGCCGCCGGCGCTGCCGCTGTTGCTGCTGCTGTGGGCGGCGGCGCTGCCGGCTGGGGGGCAGCCCGCGGCGCAGCCCGCGGCACTCAGCGAGCGGGGCATCTCCATCCCGGACCACGGCTACTGCCAGCCCATCTCCATTCCGCTGTGCACAGACATCGCCTACAACCAGACCATCATGCCCAACCTGCTGGGCCACACCAACCAGGAGGACGCGGGGCTGGAGGTGCACCAGTTCTACCCGCTGGTGAAGGTGCAGTGCTCGGCCGAGCTCAAGTTCTTCCTGTGCTCCATGTACGCCCCGGTGTGCACCGTGCTGGAGCAGGCCCTGCCGCCCTGCCGCTCTCTTTGCGAGCGCGCCCGCCAAGGCTGCGAGGCCCTCATGAACAAGTTCGGCTTCCAGTGGCCCGACACGCTGCGCTGCGAGAAGTTCCCGGTGCACGGGGCCGGCGAGCTCTGCGTGGGGCAGAACGCCTCCGAGCGCGGCACCCCCACGCCTGCCCTGCGCCCCGAGAGCTGGACCAGCAACCCCCAGCGCGGGGGCGGCGCGGGGGGCTCGGGGTCGGGTGAGGCCCGTGGGCGCTTCTCCTGCCCGCGGGCGCTGAAGGTGCCCTCCTACCTGAACTACCGCTTCCTGGGCGAGAAGGACTGCGGGGCGCCCTGCGAGCCCGGACGCCTCTACGGGCTCATGTACTTCGGGCCCGAGGAGCTGCGCTTCTCCCGCACCTGGATCGGCATCTGGTCCGTGCTCTGCTGCGCCTCCACACTCTTCACCGTCCTCACCTACCTGGTGGACATGAAGCGCTTCAGCTACCCCGAGCGGCCCATCATCTTCCTGTCGGGCTGCTACACGGCCGTGGCCGTGGCCTACATCGCTGGCTTCCTGCTGGAGGAGAGGGTGGTCTGCAATGAGCGCTTCGCCGAGGACGGCTCGCGGACCGTGGCACAGGGCACGAAGCGGGAGGGCTGCACCATCCTCTTCATGATGCTCTACTTCTTCGGCATGGCCAGCTCTATCTGGTGGGTCATCCTCTCCCTCACCTGGTTCCTGGCGGCCGGCATGAAGTGGGGCCACGAGGCCATCGAGGCCAACTCCCAGTACTTCCACCTGGCTGCCTGGGCTGTGCCGGCCATCAAGACCATCACCATCCTGGCCCTGGGGCAGGTGGATGGAGATGTGCTCAGCGGTGTCTGCTTTGTGGGCATCAACAACGTGGACGCTCTGCGGGGCTTCGTTCTGGCCCCCTTGTTCGTCTACCTGTTCATCGGCACCTCCTTCCTGCTGGCCGGCTTCGTGTCCCTTTTCAGGATCCGGACCATCATGAAGCATGATGGCACCAAGACAGAGAAGCTGGAGAAGCTCATGGTGAGGATAGGGATCTTCAGTGTCCTCTACACCGTACCGGCCACCATTGTCATTGCCTGCTATTTTTACGAGCAAGCTTTTAGGGAACAGTGGGAAAGGAGCTGGGTCACGCAGAGCTGTAAGAGCTATGCCATCCCCTGCCCCAATAACCACAGCAGCCATCACCCACCCATGAGCCCTGACTTCACTGTCTTCATGATCAAGTATCTCATGACTTTAATTGTGGGCATCACCTCGGGCTTCTGGATCTGGTCGGGGAAAACACTCAACTCCTGGCGGAAGTTCTATACCAGGCTCACCAACAGCAAGCAGGGCGAGACCACCGTGTGAGCCCCACAGCTGGGCTGGAAAACTGTGCAGACTGCTGGCGTTCCTGCAGAGGAAAAGTCAGGTGGGGAACTCTGTGCTTGGGACAGACTTTGGGGTTTTGTTCTCCCTCTCCTCTCTCTTGCTGTCTCCTGTAGGAACTGAACATACCGTGAGGCTGGGGGAGAGAGATGTAAATAGCCTCTGTAAGATTTTGTAAGTATATTTGTATTTAAATTGCAAAAACAAAAAAACAACTCACTTTTTTAATTATTTACGACATTTTTAACCCGTTTGCAGATTTTAACTTCCTTGCCACCACTTGTTTTTTTTGTTTGTTTGTTTGGTTTTTTTTTGTTTGTTTGTTTTTTTTAACTTTAAAGAAAAAGGCATTGGGATTTTATTTCATAGGGCAGGATGGGAAAAACTTCTGACAAAAGAAACCAAACCAACCCCTTTCCCTCTCCCCCACGCAGCTTTTGCAAATGGCTTTGCCCAGAGTTTCAGGAGCAGCAGAGCCTGGGCTGGGGCAGGTGCCCAGGGCCGGAGTGGAGCAGCTCCAGCCAACCTTGGCTTGAGCACCACTCCCTTCCTGCCTGAGGTGTATGGGGGGGAGGGGGGGGTAGGATGGGGAGGAGTGCACTGCCTCATGGCCTTGTGCCCCACACCATGTAGGGACAGCGTGGTTGGGAGGGCCACCCAGCCACCTATGTGGCCTGGTACAGCTGTTGGTCCATGCTTTGGCACGCCCCAGCCCTACCAGGCCAAGCTGTGGCCAGGGGGCCCAATTTTCTGTGAGGTGAAGAACAATAGCCTGTCCTGCTGAAGGTCCATTTGGCCTTTTTGCAAAGGGAGAGTTTCACCACGGTGTCCTGTACTAGGGAATGGCTGCTGGCTGTCCTTTCTCCTTGTTAAAAATGTACCACATAGTTGAAGAAGGAGTTGGCTGTTCTGTTGCGCTTTGGCCAGGAGTTGAGGTCGATCACTGTCTGCACTTGTAGCATGTCTGATGGCTTTGGAGGTGAATGGGGACACAGGTATACTGAATTTCTTCTATATATATATATATGTAATATATATATATATATATTATAGCCACTCTAGTGAACTTCTGAGCTGTAAAGCCAGGAGGTGCCCACTCTGCATTCTCCCTCAGGAATAAGATATTGGCCTTGTCACTGACAAAGTGCAGAGTTTTTGGAGGAAAAGATAAAGGCCACCTGCAAATCCAGACCCAGGAGTCAGCTGCAACTTCCTCTGTCTTCATGGTGCCGCTTGTGTGCATCGGCGTTCTTCTCCCCATAAGGAAAACATTGAGGGAGAACTACCTGGAACGCCTTGCTGCCTGCCTGTGCTGTGGGGTTAACTGCGGGCTCTGCGCAAACAGAATCAGGAAATATGAGCTCAGTAAAAAGAGCTTCATCGGAATAAAATGCAGTGTTCAGATTTTTTTTTTTTTTTTAATTAAATCCATAAGCTGGCTCCTCAGTTTGGAAATGTTTGAGCCGTTGCTGTTCTCTTGAATTTTAATTCATTGACATTTAATTCATTACACATTATGAGGGTGTGATGATTTTTGCCAGTAGTAAAAACAAAGGGAAAACAGAAAACCAGAATGTCTGAGCACTCTGGTGGGATGTTAGACCTTAAAGAGCCTCTGCTGTCTTTTCTTTTTTCCTTTCTTTTTTTCCCCTCCACTACGGTAATAGCATTGCACACTACAAAGATCTGATACCATGTGCAGTGTATCTACTACCTTATATGCTTCTGGGAATGTGCTTCTTTTTGAGGAAAAAAAAAAAAAAAAAAAAAAAAAAGTTAAAAATGAAATGTAACTTTCAACAGATGCATTTAAATATTTAGTCCTCTGTACGAAAAACAGCAGAATGCTTCTCTCCTGATTGATTGTATTGTTTTAAACTTTTTTATATTACAAATGCCTGTATTTAGGTTCATAAATGTTATCTATGGCTACCATACCCTGAAATTCAAAATTATTTGAATTTGGTATGCATTTATTTCTGTTCATTATCACGAGATCATCTATATTTATAGAGGAATAGAAATTTATATATATTAAATACCATATTTTTAATTTCTCTGAAATAAATTGAGGTTTTGTACAAAACTATCTTGTCCTTTTACGTATTCCTCTGTCTAAGTCAGATGCTGTGTGAAAGCAGTGTGTATGCTACAAGATGTGTGGGATTACTTTTTTCTTTTCTTGTGTTGAGTTCACAGTAACAAGCTGGAATTCAGCGCAGGAATTCATTGTGCATTTTGGTTTTTATCTCTGGGCCGGTCTAGATTAATCCTTCAAAAGGAGTAATGTAAACTGTTCAAGATCTCTGACAGGGTATGGTTGGTGGTGTGAAATCCAAGAAGAGATCTGCTATATGGCAGGAGAAGAAAGAAGCTCACCAGTTCTTTTTTTTTTTCTTTTTCCCTTAAAGAAAAGGGTTCTCTCAACTTAGCCTTTCTTCTCTCTTTCCTATTAAAATAAAAAGATTTTCTCACTGCTCCAAATGAAACTCAGATTATGTAGCAATATTGTCAGAATATATTAATGAGTAAAATAGTTTTGTTTTCCTGAAACGTTTGGTTAATCTATAGTTAAAGGATGTGCTCATGGAAATATTTCAGCTTTACAAAAACCGCGCACATTCTTAAACCTTTAAACACATCACTTTTTTTTGCCTCTCAGTATTCATTGTTCCAAGTGCCGTTCTGTACGCTTGGTTTTGTTAGGAAAGAGTGCCTAATTACGGGGATCTGATTTCCAGTGCTATAACCCACTGCAGCATCTCATTCTGCAGAGCAAGAGGAGCAAGAGAAAGGTGGAAATAATTTGGGGCGCTTTTATTTTTATTTTTATTTTATTTATTTATTTATTTATTTGTGGTGAGTAAACAGCTATAGAGACATAAGGAGAGCTTAAAACCTCCTGTAATGACGTGAAATGAGAGGATGGAGGGTTTTTTTTTTTTTCCTAATTTTTAATTTGTTTAAAATAACCATAGTTTTTCTTTCTCCGACGTTTTCCCTGTTTTTGCCCAGTATTTTTTTTTTTTTCTTCAGAATTTTAGCAGTGAAAATTGTCCTGGTCAGCATTCAGCTAATGGCCTGAACTGCAAGCCATTCCATTTCATTTGCAATGGAATTCTTTTTGGTCAGTGTGTAATTACATTTGAGCCATTTTGACTGATCTGTCGTCTTACAGCTGAATGCGTGTGATTTATTTATGCATGAGAGAACACATTTAATTGTAATAGAAACTTTGTATTTATGGTAAGGGATGGAGGGCCCATTTAAAAACAAAATACTTTGGAAAGTTCAGTAATGGAATTGTTTCTTTATGAAGTAAAATGTTGTTAGTCTTTGCAGTTCGTGCTTTGCAACAAATATGGGACCTTTCCAGTTCTTAGGATTTTTTCCATAGATTGCAGAGCTGATTTCCATGTTCAGTCTTGGTTATTTCAATAAATACACTCAAGAGCACAGTACAGTCATTTAAATGGCTCGCCTTGTTTAGAAGAGCAAACCTTTGCCTTTTTGTTTGCTAATTTTTGTGAACTTTCACATTTCAGTAATTTGAAAGGTCACAGCCATTACTGAGTACTCTGGTACTATCTGTGTGACTTCCCTAGTTTCTTATGCTTTTATTTCTTAACGTGTCAAATATCATTATATTTGAGACTTTCTACTCATATGATACAAAGGTGTCTTTTACACAGGTACAGTGTGGTGATCACTGATACTTTTACCTTGCTTCAAAAACAAATCTGTCCACTGGCCTAGGGAATTCAGAAAGGATTCTTTACACCATCTGTGTAATTGATGTACTGTGTTTTCCAGAGAGAGCATCACTGTCTAAAAAGAAACAGTGTTGCCCAGTTCCTCTCCTCCCTGACAAGATGAATAATGTAAGAACAAAAGCTGTGGTATAGCAAAGTATCCTAGGTTTAGAAGTACTTGTTAAGGCATTCCTTAGTCAACAACTTTTCTGTCTCTCACAGGGTATATTTATAGCCTGAAATGAAGGGGCTCTGGGAATTACCAAGTTACTCTAACCATTCTGCTGAAGAGGGCTGTAGCCCGGAGAACTGGGAATGCTGATTTACTGTTCATCCTTCAGTAACAGTAATGCTCTTTAATGTAGTGGCAAATTTGTGGTATTGGAATGAAATTATATGCTGTTTCCATAACAAATCCTATTGGTAAGGGGAAGGATTTCTGGTTAGTTCATATCATAATGCCCCAAATTTCTAGTCTATGCATACACTTTAAAAAGTGTTGCTTGTTTTTTGTTTTTTTTTTTTTTTTTTTTTTTTTTTTTTTTTTCCTGATCAAATGGGAAAGCTGCAGTCTACAGGGCCTGAATTCTGTCCTGTGGATGGGGCCCATCTTTCTACTGTCATCTCAGTAATTCCTCTTGGGTGCAAGTGTGTTACAGATGGTGCTGAGGATTTAATTTGTTTAAATGGACAGTAGTTGGAATCTTTGTATGATGATCATTAGATATGAAAAGAAGCTGCTGTACATGCACAAGATGAGTATTTCTGAAAGTGGACGACAGGCTAGTACCTCATCAGTCTTTTGTCCCCCTGGTCAAGAGACAAATTCTAGAACAACTCCATGATTCTGTTGAAAGGTATGCACACAACAGCTCAACAGGGAAATCTGTTAAGATCTTGGTATGACATGTAATTACTGATGGTACTGTTTGAAAAAAGGTTGCATTTGTGTGACAGCTCCTCCACCCCAGTACTGCATGGCATGACAAAAAGCTTCAGCTAGCAGACATTCTTGTGACAGTTGAAGAGGTGAGAAGAAGTCAAATTGCTTACCTATAAAAATAAGGAAACTGAGGTAAGGCTCTATTTTCATCACTAATTGATCCTCTAGTGCCCAAACACTGGAATTGCACTATATTTGATAGAAGTTTGCATTGACAGTGCTTCAGGATTCTGTAGCAATACTATGTAAAATCAGTTTTAAACATCCTAACTGTCCAATGCTTCCCTCCCTTTTTCCATTATTAGATTTGTATTAATTGCTGTTTGCACTTGTTGAACCAAAACATCATTGTTCTGCATGTTTTGCAAATGTAGAGTGAATAGATCATATGGATTCTGAATTTAAAGGTTGATTTAAAGTGCGAGTCCTTTCGTTGTGTGTTCCCATTAGAAGTGAGAATTTTCTCTCTGGTCCACAGCTGTGGAGGTTTCTCACATAAATGCCCTTGCAGTTTGCACACCTATTTGCATCTGTAGCTCATAGGTTGAGTTGGAAGGTTTTGGCAAGGATTCACATTCATGAAGAGAAAGGGAACTTTGTTTTTCTTGCTTTAGGTTGAACCCCTTGCACAGAAGTGCTGCCACAGAAGGGCTTTGTTCTGAGTTCCTGATCAGTTTTGAAATAGTGTCATAATTTTAAGAATGGGCTAGAGTTGAGTTTAGAAAACAAGACTTGGTGACTTTGTGGCTGAGGTTTTGCTTTCACTGTTCAGTTTTTAGAAGTCTCCAAACACTTCAAATCTGAAATAGCTGTGTAAGGACAAACTAAGCACCCCAAGATTGGGTCTTGGACATATCACAAGCATTTGAGCCCCCGTGTTGGTTTGAGAGTAGCCCAGTAACTGTGTTAAAACAGATTAGATAATACTAGGCCCTTTAAGAAAGATGAAAGGCATTTAGTTTATCATTTTAGGTCAATAATAACTCCTACATGAACATAGAATGGAGTGGAAGATATTAGGAGAGTATTTGAGAATGAGCAAAATAGGCCTTAATAAGCAGTATATAAGTGCAAGTGCCACAATTTGCAGATAAAAGCAATGACACTGACCGTTTAGTTGTTGGCAACACTTCAAAAAATTTAAATATGTTTAAGAAAGCATCCTGATTTCATAGGCCTTGACAACTGTGCTTCAGATCTCAAGTTGTGTTTAGTCTAAACTTCCAGCATAACCACATCAGAGAGCCTTCCATACATGAGGTCTTGCCCTTGTTTGCATTCAAATCAGCAACATTACGTCTTATCTTAAGGTTGAACAAATAACCTCTGGTCTTCTAGTCAGACAACTCTCAGTGAAGACCAATAATTAGCCATCATGTCACATGAAATGCTGCAGGCAGGAGAGCCTGCAAGCCTTGTCCTCTCCAAGTATTTCAAGGCTCTCTTGCCACACTCATAGTACTGGGTGTGACATGCTGTGTTGGGAAGACTGTATCTGCCACCTTGACAGATATTCCTAATGGGCTATCTTAGAAATAACTTCACAGTTATATAACCGAAGAGATAGACATTTATCTGGAATTAGCTGTCTTTTAGACTGTTTCATTTTTAATGGTCTGCAATGTCTAGTAGGGTGTAACTGTAGGCTAACATATAAGGCTACTGTAGTTCAGTAGCACATCACATTAAATGAAATTTGTTTTTGTTCATTTGTTCATATCAGCAGAATCCCTCTGAATGAAGGAGTGTTTTTGTCTAGATCTAATATCAATTTTACAAATACTAACTACTTACTGCAACACAATTAAAAAAGTCATTTATCATGTGATATTTTGATGATAAAGATTACAAGAAAAAATAAAAGTGGTCTGTATCCCTAAGCTGGAATGTCTTTATGCTGTTTTGTTGCATACTTGATCAGCATCAGATCTTACATTACTGTGATGACTCAGTGTTGGTCTCATTGCTCTTAAGAGTCTAACAGTATGACTCATCAATGCTATATGACTTGTGTTGTCATCTTCACATTAATTACTATTGTGTTATCACTGGTAACTTGTTTGACCTTCACTAGCATGCATAGATTACTACAGAAGTGAAGGATAGAGCTGGTAGCCACAGGAGGTTGCAGTCTGCTTCCCAAAGACAAGACAGTGTCAGTCTTCCCTGGCAGCCCGCCCACCACTGACTGATTGAATGCCTGCAGCTTCACTTGGACACTTGGGCTCCCATCCTCTCAGGCTCCCACCCTCCCTCAGAGGTAACATTTTCTTATTCTAAGAACTCCATGGGTGTCCTACTGGCAGAAACACTACTGGGGGTGTGCTGAATTGGCTTATTTTCCTGGCTTACCAGGTTATGTGTTGGATTTTATTTTGTTTTTCCCCACCA